CAGCAGCAGCAGCAGCAGCAGCAGCAGCAGCAGCAGCAGCAGCAGCAGCAGCAGCAGCAGGTTACTTTCGAGTCTGCTGCCCTCGAGCATGGCCATGATGAGGTGGGCGAGGGAAATGCGGTCGTGGTGGAGGTGCCAAGCCAAGACGTCCATCGTCTCCACCATCAGCTGCGTGTCGAAGTTCAGCTCCGACGGCGCGCGCTGGCAGCAGCAGCAGCAGCAGCAGCAGCAGCAGCAGCAGCAGCAGGTTACTTTCGAGTTGCGAGGGCGCAGCAGCAGCTGGGGCAGCTGCAGCCCCCCCAGCGGTGACTGCCGCTCGACTAAGTGTTAGGTGAAGAAGTGACACAGCAGCAGCAGCAGCAGCAGGAGAGCAGCAGCAGCAGGAACAGCAGCAGCAGCAGGAACAGCAGCAGCAGCAGTGTCGGCGGGGGTGGCAGCCGACACTGCTGCTGCTGATCATCTGCAGTGTGGAGGCGTGCGAAGGAGCAGCAGCAACAGGAGCAGCAGCAGCGACAACAAAAACGGCAGCAGCAGCAACAAACAGCAGCAAAAGCAGCACGCCGCCAGCAGCAACTGCAGCAGCAGCAGCAGTCCGTGTCACAGCAGCAGCAGCAACGACGAGCCCCCTAGGTGCTATGAGCAGCAGCAGCAAAGGAAGCAGCAGCAAGACTGAACTAGCTGCTGCCAAGAGAAACAAGCAATGCAGCACAAACTGGGCAGCCAGCAGCGGCAAACTGCAGCAAACTGCAGCAAACTGCAGCAGCAGCAGCAGCAGCAGCAGGGTGCATTTGGCCCCACAGCCCTCCGCCGCAGGTGCAGGAAGACAAGACAGCAGCCGCCGCAGGGGAAGCAGCAGCAGGAACGGCGGCATCAGCAGGCGCAGCAGCAGCAGCAGCAGAAGCAGCAGCAGCAGCAGCAGCAGCAGCAGCAGCAAGGGCGCACCTGGTCCGGCGTCGGTCTGAGAGGCAGAGTTGCTGCTGCTTCCTTCACTTCGTTGCTGCTGCTGAGCAGCAGCAGCGCGAAGGGCGCTGCTCTCTTGAGCCACTGCAGCATTGTTGTGCAGCAGTAGGCCGTTGCTGCTGCTGCAGTTGCTGCTGCTGGAGCTGCTGCAGTTGCTGCTGTTGCTGCAGCTTCGTCTGCTGCGCAGGAGGGGAGCTGCAGCAGCAAAGGGAGGCGAAGAAGTGGAAGCAGCAAACGGGGAGAGGCCCGGCGGGCGGCGGGATCAGTGGCTGCGGGCGGCGGCGAGCTGCGCCGGGAGTGCTGCTGCTGCTGCTGCTGCTGCTGCTGCTGTTGCTGCTGCTAAGGACCTGAATGAGTGATGGCTTTGGGGAAGAAGCAAAGAAAAAGGGAAAAGGCGCGCGTTTGCTGCTGCTGCGGCAGCCCGTTGCGCCGCGGCTGCCTTAAGTCGCTCTCCTCCACTGGCAGCAGCAGCAGCAGCAGCAGCAGCAACTCAAAAATAAGCGGAAATGAAACAAACAGCAAATTAAATTCGCCAAAGTCGCCACCGCAAGACAGCAAGGGCCTTTCGCAGCCTCGCTCACACTCAACGCGGCGCTGCTGCTCCTGCTTCAACTCGATGCTGCTGCTGCTGCTGCTCCAGCAGCAGCAGCAGCAGCAGCAGCAGCAGCGGGCGCTGGGCCGCGCGGATCGCCGCATGCGTCCTCGGCTCTTAGCTTTCGTTTTGCTGGCGAATTTGCGGAATTAAATTCGAATTGAAGTCTTTGGAGTTCTCCGAGGCAGCAAAAGCTGCAGCTTTCCCGCGGCTGCTTCTGCTGCAGCAAACGCTGCAGCGCCGGCGCCCTCCGAGGCCCCCCAAGGGCCCCACTTGGCAGTTCGCCGCTCCTTTGCTGCTGGCTCGCGCTGCAGCAGCTCTTCTCCTTCAGTTCGGCCTCTTAAGCAGCGCGGCCGGCTGCCACAGCAGCAGCAGCAGCAGCAGCAGCAGCAGCAGCAGCAGCAGCGGTGGTGGTGCTGCGCTGCTGGCGCAGAGGAGGCCGCCGTCAGTGCGGTTGGGCGGTTCAGCAGGTGCGTCTGGACCTCCTTGGCGCCTCTCCGCAGTTTTTCTTTCTTCTCTTTCCCTTGCTGCAGCAGCTGCTGCTGCTGCTGCTGCTCCTCCTCCTCCTCCTTCCCCTGCTGCTGCTGCTGCTGCTGCTGCTGCTGCTTCCGCTGCTGCTGCTGCGGCGATGTTCACTCTAGCTGAGACGCGGGACCGCGGCGCATCCTCGTCGGAGTCTGCTGCTGCTTCCGCAGCAGCACTTCCTTCTCCGTCGAGCCTGATTCTGAGTTCCCGCAGCAGCAGCAGCAGCAGCAGCAGCAGCTCCGCACTCTCCCAGATCCTCTCTCTGGACCCCACGGACGCGTCCGCGGTGGCCGCAGCAGCAGCAGCAGCAGCAGCACCAGCAGCAGCAGCAGCCCTCGCGCAGCAGCGCGTGCTGCTGCAGACCTCCCTCGGGCCGCTGCTGCTGGAACTCTACTGGGCCCACGCGCCGCTTTGCTGCCTCAACTTTTTCCTCCTCGCCCGCCGCGGCGCCTTCGACGGCTGCCGCGTCCTGCAGGTGGCGCCGCAGTGGGCGTTGGCGGGCGACGCCTCCGACACGGGCAGGGGGGGGGCTTCGGTCTTCGGCAAGCCTTTTCCCGACGAGATCCATCCAGGTGGCTGGCTAGCCAGCTAGCTAGCTAGCTAGCTAGCTGGGGAGCGGGGGGGGGGCGG